TTTTAGATCTGTAGCTTTAGTCACAGTAAGTTATGGGCTATTTTAGATTTTTTTACACGGACCGGACTATTTGCCGCCCAGTACTTTACCCTATGGATAAAAAAGAACAAAAATTAACAAATCTCATAAATTTCTATTCATTAATAGTAAAAAATGTTCACGGTTAGTGTCAAAAATAATAGTGCTAGAAATAATGAAAATGTGCAAAATCTATGCAAAATTTCTTCAGCTATTGTGCAATCTCAGCTGAAAACTTAAGAATGAAATATCCTTAATCCTGATCGGTTAATTGGTCTGGAGATCAACAACATAAAGAGAACAAGTATTATTTAATCTCGAGATTAAGAAAAAGATTGGATCAAGGATTAATCCCGATATCCACCATTCAAAAGTTCCCAACTCTGAGCTGAAAACTTTAGAATGAAATATCCTTAATCCCGATCGGTTAATTTATCTAGAGATTAATAACATGAGGAGAACAAGCATTATTTAATCTCGAGATTAAGAAAAAGATTGGATCAAGGATTAATCCCGATATCCACCATTCAAAAGTTCCCAGCTCTGGTTCCTTTTGTACAAGGTTTTCCAAAGAGCCATAAAAAGTCTAAATCCAATGACCGGAAGTTGGGCTAAATATAGATTAAGTCAGGGAAAGGTAAAATAAGGTATTCTGGTAGTATGCCTGAGAAATCAGGCAGAAGAAGGTATAAAAGTCCCGGATAGAGCCTAAAGTAAGAGGCATTAGCAGGGTGGCCAAAATGTACGGATTGTACGGATTTTTTATTTTGTAACCCTATCTGTTTTTCTGTCTATCCATCTGTCTGTCTGGTTATCTATCTATCTGTCTCTTTATCAGATCTGAGAACATCCTCTCAGGTTTCTTCCGTTTATCTGTAAATCTTTTCATTTTTAGTTTAATATTAACTTTCTTTTAATTGAGTGTTCAACCCCTGTACCACGCTAATTTTAATTATATTAGATCCTAAATTTACACTCCACTCTTTCTAATTATAACTTAATCGTTTGTTTGTAAAATGGCCTAATTCACAACGATCTAAACAGTTTTAAAAATTCTCTGGTTCTTTGGTTCTCTAGTTCTCTGGTTCTCTAGTTCTTTGTTCTTCAGTTCTCTAGCTCTCTAGCTTTCCATCTTTCTAGCTCTCTAGTTCTCTAGTTCTCTAGTTCTCTGGTTCGGTTCTCTTGTTCTCTGGTTCTCTGGTTCTCTGGTTCTCTGGTTCTCTGGTTCTCTGGTTCTCTAGTTCTCTAGTTCTGTAGTTCTCTAGTTCTCTAGTTCTCTAGTTCTCTAGTTCNAAATAAAATTGTGCTTGATCCGGATCCGTGGATCCGCATTTTTTCCGGATCCGGATCCAGAGAGCCAAAATAATGCGGATCCAGCGGATCCGGATCCAGATCCTAAGCACTGATTTTTCTTAAATGTACGGATTGCAGGGATTTTTTTCGAAAATTGTACTGATTGTACGGATTTTTTTCGAAAATTGTACGGATTTCTTCTGAAAATGTACGGATTTTTGTACGGAATTTTTCAAAAAAGTTTTGGCCACCCTGCATTTGAAAGGAAAAGTCTAAATTTAATCAAATTTAACCAGCCTCAGACAAATACCTTTTCAGTAACGTCAGGGGGCTCCCTGTGACCCCCCCCCCACCCCAGCTTAATAGGGTTAAGCAAGAGTATAACACCAAGATTGTTTCTTGGAGGATTTTTTTACATAAAAATATTAAATGTAAAAATATATTACTAAGATGATCTTAAGATAACGGAACAAAGCTGAAAACTTTAGAATGGTTGATATCGAGATTAATATGTGATCCTCTCTTTTTTTCAATCTCGAGACTAACCTAATCTTGTAACTTTTATCCTGAAAAGTGTATACAATTCAACCAATCAGAGTCGCTTATATGAAGCCGATAAATTTGAAATTTTGCGCGCCATTTGAGATAATATACAGAAATGGGGGAACTCTCTGATTTAGAAAAATCGGTTTTTGATTTTTCTTATATCCAAGAAAGAACGGTTTGTCCATTGGATACTCAGATTATATAATCGGGTTTAAGGATATATAATTCTAAAAGTTTTCAGCTCAAGTCATATAAGACCAAAAATTTTATGTTATAAAACCCTTTTCACTGTTAAAGGGACTGAGTAATTATATTTAAAAGTTCCATCTGAAGAGGAGCTTTTCTGAATCACAACTAAATCCTTTAAACCTTTGTTAAATTGACGGTCTTAAGTGCATTAAATCCGCAATATTCAAATTTTAAGAGGAAACTTAAAATAAACCATCTTGAATTTTAACTGCGAGTTTTCCTTTGAAATTCTTGCGGATTTATGCACTGAAGATTAAAATGTATCTCCGTACACGTTGGACAGGCAGGATGTCAGATGGGAAATGCCTGCTGGGAACTCTACTGCCTGGAGCATGGTCTTCAGCCTGATGGTTTAATGCCCTCAGATAAGAGTGCTGCTGGTGGTGATGATAGCTTCAGCACTTTCTTCTCTGAGACTGGATCTGGAAAACATGTTCCAAGGTAAATTTAGTTAACATCCCACCACCCTCTCCTTATCTCAAATGTATCTAAAAATATTTAACCAAATATTATTTTGGAAATGCAATAAGTTGAATCCGGTTCATGTTCAAAATGCAATAAACATTGAGTGTATAACAAAGGGACTTGACTGCCGCACAGCATTAAATAGGCCATAAACTAATCAAACCAATTTTGTTAAACTGAATCTTATTTATGTTGTGAATATCAGTTTTATAAGAAATAATGCTTCACGGTTTAATTTTAAATTGAAAAGCATATTTTTAATGCTGTTGAAACTTGCTTACAATCAAATCAAGACCTCCTTTAAGAACCACATCCACTTTTTTTCAGCAATTTATAATGTTCTTATTAGGCACGTACCTGCTGAAAACATTTATAAAAATCTGAAAAGTATTGCAAATTAATTATTCTTTTTGGGACTGTTTTTTCAAACTTAAATTGAGGAAATAAATTTATTACCAGGACAATTGTCTTTACTCTGGCTTGACGTTTATTGGAAAATTTTTGTTTTAACCTTCTGATGTAACTAGGGCTGTGTTTATTGACCTGGAGCCGACTGTTATTGATGAGATAAGAACTGGAACTTATCGTCAACTATTCCACCCTGAACAGATGGTGACTGGTAAGGAAGATGCTGCCAACAACTACGCTAGAGGTCACTACACTGTTGGCAAGGAGATTGTTGATCTTGTTCTTGACAGAATCAGGAAGTTGGCAGATCAATGCACTGGTCTCCAGGGATTCTTGATCTTCCACTCCTTCGGTGGAGGAACTGGATCAGGGTTCACATCTCTTCTCATGGAGAGATTATCTGTTGATTATGGAAAGAAGTCTAAGCTAGAGTTCTGTATCTACCCTGCTCCACAGGTATAGGTCCATTCTACTTTAAGGGACGGTTAACGTGATTTCAAGTGCTCCTCCTTAGAAGAGATAAGTTTTCAATTAATAATGATTCCCTTATGTTTTAATATTTTAATTGAGAGAATATAATTTTCTTTCTGATTATCCGATAAAGAGGAGAAAGAAAGCAATCTGAATGTTATTTGGGCCACTTAAAGGGAAAGACCGGCAATGTATGTATACTAACCGAAAATGTAGTATTGTGGAGAAATGTCTTAGGATCAGGGTGGCCAAAATGTATGGATTGTACGGATTTTTTTGTAACCCTGAAATTGTACAGATTTTAATCCTGGAAATACAGTTTTTTTTTAAATTTTCACTAAGGGGATGGTGGAGTTGGCACATTTTTGGTTCAAATCTTCCAACTTTTTGGGTGCACGCCTAATTAGTGATCGAAATTCCTAAAATAAAATAAAATTGAATTTTAATGACCTCAAATGACCTCTAATGACCTCCACAAATAGAATATATTTCAACTATGGCTTAATGCATATCAAACGAAAGCTAGGAACCCCAGGAATACAGTTGCAGCAACGAATCCAGTGTTTGACCTTCTAATGACCTCTAACGACCTCTAATGATCTAAATGACCTCCAAAAATGAAAATATTTTAACAATGGCTTTCTGCATATCAATTAAAAGCTAGGAACCCCAGGAATACAGAGGCAGCAACTAATCCAGTGTTTGACCTTCTAATGACCATCTAATGACCATCTAATGACCTCTAATCTGGGTTCCTAGCTTTCGTTCGATATGTAAAGCCAAAGTTAAAACATAGTCATTTTTGGAGGGTTAGGTCATTAGAGGTCGTTAGAGGTCAGTAGAACGTCAAACACTGGATTCGTTGCTGCAACTGTATTCCTGGGATTCCTAGCTTTCGTTTGATATGCATAAAGCCATAGTTAAAACATTTTCATTTTTGGAGGTCATTTAGGTCATTAGAGGTCGTAAGAGGTCATTAGANTCAGGTATGTTGGAGAAGGTATGGAGGAGGGTGAGTTCTCTGAAGCTAGGGAGGATATGGCTGCCCTGGAGAAGGATTATGAAGAGGTTGGAATGGATTCCAATGATGCCGAGGACGGAGAAGGAGATGAATATTGATTTTAATGTTTTTTATTTAGTGCCAATTCTTCGCCAAATTACGCCAACATTTTTATATTAAAAATGTATGCAGGCTTCTATTTTATATATTCTTAAATCTTTAATTTCAGAAGAAGCTTTTGATCCTAAATCGCCAAGCTACTTTTGAAACTTTATCAAAATGAGGGAATGTATCTCCGTACACGTTGGACAGGCAGGATGTCAGATGGGAAATGCTTGCTGGGAACTCTACTGCCTGGAGCATGGTCTTCAGCCTGATGGTATGATGCCGTCAGACAAGAGTGTTGCTGGTGGTGATGACAGTTTCAGTACGTTCTTTGCTGAAACTGGTGCTGGAAAACATGTCCCCAGGTATACTTTTGCTCTCAGCGAAGAGTTTGATACAAAGCTTCACGTTTGAAAATTAAAGTTTGTTTTTTGAAGAAAGTCATCAGATATTTATAATTAACAAAACGTCGAATCCGAAATTTTTTGAGTTTTTTAATGCAGTTAAAATTTAAATATTTTTTATTGGCTCATCGGCCTTTTTTTGCTTTATGAAATTTTGTTTTTCGGAGAAAGTTATCAAGTATTTATAATTAACTAAACGTTTAATCCAAATTTTTTTCTAGTCTTTTAATGCAGTAGTAACTAAAATATCTTAATTACTCATTGGCCTTTTTATTGTTTATATGAAACCTATTACATTTTTTTCTAGCTAAAATTTGCATAACTTTTATTGAACATTTTTTTATTTTAACTTTCATTTGGAGTTTTACTGCTTTAATATCGTTCTAACACTCTAATTCCAGCCTTGTAAAAAAATGTTGAACTAACTGAGTTCTGATAATGTATTTGAATTTATCTGAATTTGGAACTTATTTTTTGTGCTTGTGAATCTCGATCAAGCATTCCTCTTGAAGACGAATAAATGTAAGTTATCAATATTCTATGGTGGTAATTTCCAGCAGGGGTAATTTAATGATATCAAGCTTTCTCCTCAAATTTCAAATATTCATGTTGAAGATCAGACGTCGCGTTTAAGATAAATCCACACTACATTTCCGACCTTTGATTTTATAATGTTAGTACTTAAAAGGAAATCTTAGTAATTCTCTTCATACTTAAACTGATGACGATATTTCCATGAATCTATTTCACTCTAGGTTTTTGAATGTTTTAATTAGCCTTACCAGCTTAGCTCAGTGGAATGTATCTTTTCTGTTTCTTACACAAAAGCTTGAATGATAAACGACTTTTTTACTTATGTCGTTTCATTATCGCTCATGTTCAGTTGTCCATTATTTAGATTAATTTTCGATTAATAATATATTATGCGTAGGAAGAAAGTGTAATAATCAAAATTATTGTTATAATATTGAAAGAAAAACCGTGGAATAATTTTGATTATTCACCGAANCGCTGCTATTGCCACAATCAAGACCAAGAGGAGCATTCAGTTTGTGGATTGGTGTCCCACAGGGTTCAAAGTTGGAATCAACTATCAGCCTCCTACTGTTATTCCTGGAGGTGATCTTGCCAAGGTGCAGAGAGCTGTGTGCATGTTGTCCAACACCACAGCTATTGCTGAGGCCTGGGCTAGACTAGACCACAAGTTTGATCTGATGTACGCTAAGAGAGCTTTCGTCCATTGGTAAGGACCTTTTTAACAGGACCTTGTTAATGGCAAGTTCAGTGTTTTGAAAAAGCGGGATTTTATACTGCATGGTTGACTTCATACTTACCGTAATTGATCCTATTAAGAAATTTAAATTAGGTCAAACTTAAGAAATTTCAGTGAACATTCACTATCTACAAAACAATCGTAAGTGTTTCTGTGGTAAATCATTAAAAAAGAAAATGGTTAATGTTAAAGATTTCCTATTGCATAATCTTAATCAGGATCCTGGTCCGTTTGTATATTGGAGAGATAAATCTCAAAATTTTATCAAACTTTGTTAGATTAAGCACTCCACTGGCAATATCTAGTTATCATACTTTTTCGTGGTTAGCTTGTGGGGAACGTCATAAGTTTTAACGTGAAACGTATCTGAAAAATACAAATCAATAATTATTTTGTTCAGGTATGTTGGAGAAGGTATGGAGGAGGGTGAGTTCTCTGAAGCTAGAGAGGATATGGCTGCCCTGGAGAAGGATTATGAAGAGGTTGGAATGGATTCCAATGATGCCGAGGAGGGAGAAGGGGATGAATACTGATACTTCAATTATTTTCTTATGTGCCAAGCTTTGCTTTTATCTTGAACATTTTGCCTTAAAATTACTGGTGAATGAGTCTATATACTCAATAAGATTAAGATGTTAATTTTTATCATTTCAGAATCTTAAAAACGTACTGATAAAATGAGGGAATGTATCTCTGTACACGTTGGACAGGCAGGATGTCAGATGGGAAATGCTTGCTGGGAACTCTACTGCCTGGAGCATGGTCTTCAACCTGATGGCATGCTCCCCCCTGATATGAGTGTTGCCAAGGGAGATGATAGTTTCAGTACTTTCTTCTCAGAGACTGGAGCAGGGAAACATGTTCCAAGGTAGGAATTAAGATATTTGCTCTAGAAAGCAAGATTAGTTAGATTGGATTACTTGTAAGAGAGTAGGAGTTAGAGTGGTTAATATAATAACGCAGCTTTAAAGGTTCTTGAGGGTTCTGTCTTGTACAAAATAAGGCAATTAAGATAATTTAAATGCTATTATTTTTGAAAAATTTTGTATCCTCCTACTTATACTTTTTATATTTAAACTGAAACAATTCCGTTTTTGGTTTTCTGCTTTGTTCTTGGACTGGATTGGCTATTTTACAGTTTCTTCTTAATTCTAAATTACATTTCTTTCTTTTTTAAACAAACTTCTTTTGATCAATTACTATGTAAACATAATTATTGTACAATGTTTATCTACAAGATAAATTGAAAAAAAATAATGAATATCTTTGTCATTTGTTAGTTACTGTTATATTTCAGGGCTGTATTCATTGATCTGGAACCTACCGTTATTGATGAGATTAGAACTGGAACGTATAGACAGCTGTTTCATCCCGAGCAGCTTGTTACAGGAAGGTTTGACGGAGCCTTGAATGTTGATCTGAATGAGTTTCAGACTAACTTGGTTCCATATCCAAGAATCCACTTCCCTCTGGTAACCTATGCTCCAATTATCTCTGCTGAGAAGGCTTATCATGAGAGCTTGTCTGTAGCTGAGATTACCAATGCATGCTTTGAACCTGCAAACTCCATGGTCAAGTGTGATCCAAGGCACGGAAAGTACATGGCATGCTGCATGCTGTACAGAGGAGACGTGGTCCCTAAAGATGTCAACGCTGCTATTGCCACAATCAAGACCAAGAGGAGCATTCAGTTTGTGGATTGGTGTCCCACAGGGTTCAAAGTTGGAATCAACTATCAGCCTCCTACTGTTATTCCAGGAGCTGATCTTGCCAAGGTGCAAAGAGCTGTGTGCATGTTGTCCAACACTACAGCTATAGCTGAGGCCTGGGCTAGACTAGACCACAAGTTTGATCTGATGTACGCTAAGAGAGCTTTCGTCCATTGGTAAGTTGTTTATAAATCCTTTTTTTGTAAAATTGAAATTAAAATTTTTAAGGTATGTTGGAGAAGGTATGGAGGAGGGTGAGTTCTCTGAAGCTAGGGAGGATATGGCTGCCCTGGAGAAGGATTATGAAGAGGTTGGAATGGATTCCAATGATGCCGAGGAGGGAGAAGGAGATGAATACTGAAAAATCAACCTGGTGTCAACGTCATTTTTAGTCTTTCATTGAAAGTGATCATTTTTACAAAGATTTTATTCTATTTTGATTTAAAAATTTAATTTCATCCATATTTCAGAGTTTAATCTAGATGCTAGGATGAGTAGTAGGGTCCCCTTGGAAACTCCAGTTGTTGCCAAGGAAATACCAGATGTTATCACGGATCCTAGCACCAAGAGAACTTATGAGAGGGGAAAGTTTCTCGGAAAGGTAAAAGAAAAAGATATTATGTATCTTATATATTCCAGGGTTGTTTAATTTATAAAATATTTAAGATTTGGGTGAAAATGAAATTGGGCACATGATGTAAGGTTTTCTAGGCCCTTATTAATATTTTCCCAAATTCAATTTGAACTTTGCTATTACATCATAGAAACAACTATTTTGCATTATAAATATACCTTGTCTATTTCCTTCCTGACTATATCAGTTCTTAGTGTACAGCATACACACATATACATACTGAATTCGACACTCAGGTTTTAAGCAGTGTTCAGGATCCATTTAATTTTGATGTGGATCCAGATCCTGGATCCGCACTGGAATAGAATGGATCCGGATCCAGGTCATTTCTTTACTTGATTTACTGAATTTTTTCAACAAAAAATAAATTTTAATTTTTTGTTTGTTTATTTTCGCATATTTTTATCCTAAAATTATTCAGAAATGAGGAAATTTTTATAATCTCTCTTTTCTTTCAAAAGTTCAGATTTGGGTTTAAGGAGTAAAAAAGTTTTGTTTGCAGTTTTTGGTTGATATTTTACCATTTGGATCCGGATCCGTAGATCAGCATATTATCCGGATCCAGCCAAAATCTTGCGGATCCAACGGATCTGGATTTTAAGCTGGTTTAAGTAAGATTTTCTTTGTCAAGGGTGGATTCGCTAAATGCTATGAGCTGAAGGATAAAGCTACAGGAGAGATAGTAGCGGGGAAGATAGTTCCCAAATCAATGCTCACTAAAGCTCACCAGAAAGAAAAGATGGCTCAGGTAAAACTAGTAAACTTATTATTATTGTTTAAAGATTATCATGTTACTTGGACCAGGAAATCAGACTACATATATTTATGTTGTAATTTAAAGTTATCAATTCACTGTTTTCAGGAAATCCGACTTATGTATGTCGTAATTTAAGGTTATTATGTTACATGTATTAATGTTTTGTTTTAAGGTTATTATTGCTGGGACCAGGAAATCATTTCACAGTTTCAGGAAATCCGAATCATTTCACCGTTTCAGGAAATCCGACTACATGTATTTATGTTGTATTTAACGTTATCATTTCACGGTTTTCAGGAAATCCGACTACATGTATTTATGTTTTGTTTTAAGGTTATCATTACTGGGACCAGGAAATCCGACTACATGTATTTACGTTGTATTTCAAGGTTATCATGTTACATTTTCAGGAAATCCGACTACACAAGATTGTGAGACATTCCTATATAGTTAAGCTTTTCTCATATTTTGAAGATTCAAATTTTGTGTAAGTAGCTTTTACTTTATCTATTATTTATCTGTTATTTTAACTCATAATTTTCCTGTTGAGCTTAGAACTTGTTGATTTAAATTGTAAGTCTTCTGTTTAAGACTGTTTTCATCTTGATTTATATATGTCATTGATCAAGTTACTGGATTAATCTTTAGATATGCGATTGTAAAGTTGTATCTGGATTGATCTTGATTTAGATATGCGGTTGATCAAGCTCATTTCAGCAAATTTTAAAGTAAAAAATCTCGTCAAAATAAAGTTGGATTAACTTATTTTCTGCATTCTAAATAATATTAGGTTGATTGTTGATTCAATTGACGATCAAAATTCATTCATAATTTTTCGAGAGTGTTGATTTTTGCTAAATAATGAGTTTTATAAAAAGCTGAAACAAAGAAACCCATCCCTATGAAGACTAAATGCCATAATTATAGATTTTAAATTTTGAATGTGTATTTATCCTGTTTCTTCTCTCATTCTCATCCTAATTTGCTTGTTTTTCCTCTCATTCTCATCCTTATTTACTTGTTTCTCCTCCCATGCTCATACAAATTTACTTGTTTCTCCTCTCATTCTCGTCCTAATTTACTTGTTTCTCCTCTCATTCTCATCCTAATTTACTTGTTTCTCCTCTCATGCTCATCCTAATTTACTTGTTTCTCCTCATTCTCATCCTGATTTACTTGTTTCTCCTCTCATTCTCGTCCTAATTTACTTGTTTCTCCTCTCATGCTCATCTTAATTTACTTGTTTCTCCTCTCATTCTCGTCCTAATTTACTTGTTTCTCCTCTCATGCTCATCTTAATTTACTTGTTTCTCCTCTCATTCTCATCCTAATTTACTTTTTTCTCATCTCATTCTCCTCCTAATTTACTAGTTTCTCATCTCATTCTCATCCTAATTTACTTGTTTCTCCTCTCATTCTCATCCTAATTTACTTATTTCTCCTCTCATGCTCATCCTAATTTAATTGTTTTCTCTTATTCTCGTCCTAATTTACTTGTTTCTCCTCTCATGCTCATCCTAATTTAATTGTTTTCTCTCATTCTCGTCCTAATTTACTTGTATCTCCTCTCATGCTCATCTTAACTTACTTGTTTCTCCTCTCATTCTCATCCTAATTTTTTTGTTTTATTCTTTTTAATGTACGGTTTGTACGGACTTTTTTCAATAACATGTACGGATTTTTTCTGAAAATGTACGGATTTTTTCAAAAAACTTTTGGCCACCCTGCTATTGATCACGATGTAACTGGTCTAATCTTCTAATTATTTCTTAATTTTTTGTGAATTATCAAGTTGTGACTGGATCAATCTTGATTTAGATATGTGATCCTGGAGCTGTGCAGAAAGAAATCTTTGATGGAACTCCACAAACGTCGACAAGCTATCACCGAACCTGAAACCAGATATTTTATGAGACAGGTCTGTCTATTATTTTATATGATGTCGTGCTGAGGATCCTTTAATTTAGTTAGATCTGGATTCTATATCCGTCGTCTATGAAAATTATTCCTAAAGAAACTGGATACGAAATTTCCGTTTTTATCCAAATTCTTGCTAGTACAAGATTCTTAAGAATAATATCATTTTGGTTCTTTTCAGTCCTGGGATTTAAGTATTTCATTAGTAATTCCTAAAAATTTGGGTGTTAAAATTATTTTATTAAGATGCTGTTGGGTTGTCAATATCTTCATGAGAACAAGATCATTCATCGTGATCTAAAGCTCGGCAACGTGTTCCTAAATGATGATCTGGAGATTAAGATCGGAGATTTCGGTTTGGCAACTAAGGTGGATTTTGAGGGAGAAAGGAAGAAAACTCTGTGCGGAACACCTAACTACATAGCTCCAGAGGTAAGATGGATTTGGATTTGGATTTGGATTTGGATTTGGATTTGGATTTGGATTTGGATTTGGATTTGGATTTGGATTTGGATTTGGATTTGGAGAAATGTTACTGTGTCATTTGTGATTTAAGATTGATTTTAAATTGATACAAACCCGTATCCTGGATTTTCTTAATCATGTGTTTTGTTCTCCCAAAATTGGTTTTTGTAATATATTTGTAATTGGTTAACGCTTTAAATTTTGAGAAAAATCCGGGATATGGATTGTTTTGAAAGTTTTACTCGAATAATAAAATGAAATTGATGTCTGTTTAGGTTCTAGGCAAGAAAGGACACAGCTACGAGGTAGATGTTTGGTCCCTGGGGTGTATTCTCTACACATTACTAGTTGGGAAACCACCATTCGAGACACAGTCCCTCAAGGATACATACAGTAGGTCAGTACATCGGTTGTATTTACTTCACTTTTGGTGGCAACGAATTTTTTCATGTTATTGGGTCTGATTATTTAAATTTTTGCAGACACTTTGATCACGTTACAAAACTTGCTAATGAAGTTTATTGAATAATTAAAATAATTACCGGTTTTCGGTTTCTGTTGAAATGACTACTAGATTTTTTATGTACCCGGTTTAGATTTTTGTTTAAGAGTTTATTTTATTTGATCTTTCAAGATATTTTGCAAGATTAAATTGTTGTAAATTTCTAGATAAATAATTAATGTTTCAGGATAAAAAGGAACGAGTACCATATTCCGTCTAAGATTGGTCCTCTAGCTAGAAACCTTATTGCCAAACTACTCCAGAATGATCCTATGAAGAGACCATCTGTTACGGAGATATTAAAGGTAAATAGTTTTAAAACATATTTTGTCTTATATTACACATCTTTGCAAATTTTCCTTCTTTTACTGAAAATAATTGACGAGGCTCAGCCTTGACCTGTTTATATTTGATGTTTGGTTGCTTTCTTAAGTTCTCTGATTAGAACAAATACATCTTAACGTTCTTCGTGATGGGTTTTAACGACTGTTTATTTGATTTTTATTGAACATATGAATTTGTGTTCAGGATGATTTTATGACAATGGGATACCTACCATGCCGTCTACCACAGTCCTGCCTCTCCATGGCGCCAAGGTTCGACAACAAGTTGAACGCCAGCTTGATAGCCAGGAAGAACCCGCTCTCCGAGTACAACAGGATATCAGAATCCTCTAGCAGTACAGGAGAGGTATATATTCAGCTTTACATAAGTTTCTTACATAACTGGGAATTTTAGCATAGTTTAAAAACTTTGTTCTTAAATTTTCCAACGTATTTCTTACTCCCCGGCAACGTATTTCTTACTCCCCGGATAGGTGAACCCTCAAAGGATGTGACTTCAGAGACGACTGTACGGAATTTTCTGATTTCTTATATTCATGGTTCTCTGCACCTAAACTTGTTTCGCTCTGTCAAATCAGAAATTTATTTTAATTAACTTCTTTTTAGAAAAAGGACGGAGTTAAGGGAGGATTGAGTGGACCCTCTGACTGTCATCTAGGTGAAAACCACGCTATGCTCAGAAAGCTGGTAGAGAGTAAACCTGGATCCAGGGTTCAAGCTCAGGAGGAGGAGGCAGAGGATCCAATGGTGAGAAGAGTTTTCTGGGGGTTTTATAACTTTATACTTACTGAACACACTGTTCTAGAAAATTGAAAGATTAAAGTTCCAATGGTAAAACAATTGAAAGTCCGTTTGCTGGGATAGGGACTGAACTGCTAAATCATTGGGTTTGAGGGGGGGGGGGGGCAGAAGTTGTTGATCACTAAAATCATTTTCCGCATTTCTCTGATAAAGCCTCATTTATTGTAAAACTGTCAAGCTTCGTTAGTGGTTGATTCTTGATATAATTCTGAATATTTTCTTTTAGTGGTCGAGTCTTCATCTAATTATAAATGTTTTCAGTCTCAACCGTTGGTCTGGGTGTCTAAATGGGTCGATTATAGTGATAAATATGGCTTTGGATACAGGTAACAACCTTATTTAATCTCAGATCGGCTCTTTTAAATATTAAGTCTTCAGAAATATCTAATCCGTACCATTGTAGTACGACGGTTTTAAAAGACTCCTTTATGATATTTATGAAGAAAGCGTCTTTGGCGTTTTTCACGATTTAAGCAACTTTCAAATGCAAAATTCCGCTTTTGGATATTGAGCGAGTTCAGGTGTTCAAAAATTCTGACCTTGTTTCTTTAAAATAATTACTGTTTTGAAACGCGAAATTTACTTCAATTAACTGTTCAGTTTGAATGATGACAGTATAGGAGTTGTTTTCAATGATTTGACCAAACTTCTTCTTCTGGCAGATGGTCACAGCATTCACTACATCGATTACGACGGTAAGCGACACAGTGTAGATTTCTCATTTATTTCTATAAATGTAAATTTAGTCGTTAGAAACTTTTGACGTGAAGGGAAAATTACATTAACATTACATTAACATTACATAAACATTACATAAACATTACATTAACATTACATTAACATTACATTAACATTACATTAACATTACATTAACATTACATTAACATTACATTAACATTACATTAACATTACATTAACATTACATTAACCTCTAAATACGTTATTTGGTAGAAACTAAAATGGCTCACATTTGATGTGTGTGCTGGAACTTGGTGTTATAGCACTAAAAAAAGGTCGAGGCTGAAAACCTTAAGTTCATTTTGTTCTTGAACCTGCATTCCAAAACTTTGTTTTAATTAGATCTTCTGCCTTTGATTTAGTCTTTTGATGCTTTTATAATGAGACAGAGAAACAAATTTACAATTGCAGGGAATCATAAAGGAAACGGGCAATTAAAATTCCGTACAGTCTTCTCATATTTTGTGGATAACCCATAGTAATCTATATAATACCGATCTTTACTCATTGTTTTTTTTGCGTTTCACGGACAACGCCGGGCACCTTAGCTAGTTATTAATATATTACGAATTGAAAATATTTGATTGTTTAGGTGGAGAACATTATCATTCATTGACCGAATACCCTGAAACCATCGAGAAGAAAGTGAAACTTCTCAACTACTTCAGGTCAAAGATTTTAAGCTTATACTTTCTTCAACCCAACTTATCACTTTAGGTTTTAATCAACTATCTTTAAACAATTAACTTTTGTTTTTTAGGAACTATATGAAGGAACATCTACTCAAGGCCGGGGCTAATATGGAGGTTCGTCTTTTACTGCCAACAATGCACTTTTGTGTTCCGGGACCGAAATTAATGAAAATAGTGTTCAGTGCTTTTCTGATATTTTGAATCCTTATAAATCTTAAACCTTTGAAGGTAGTAGTTCAGAGAAGTAGTTTAAATTCATCAAGTTCGGTCCCGATATCGGTATCGTGAAGAAAACATTTAACTTAACTAGAAATTTTTTTGAAAATGTTATACCACATTTGTTATCAAGGGGATTTGAGTCTTTATGAATGGGATGAATTAAAATGTAGTCCCCATTTTGAACCGGCCGGACCCTGTATTAGATTTTATAAAATTAAATTACCAACAGCAGGGGAAATAACTCGTTAACTTAATTTTAAAAGACAGTTAGTCTATGATTAATTTTACAATCATCCCAACAGAGTTCAGGGGAAGTTAGTTCCAAAACTAACACTTGGCCCATTTCTAACACTTAGTGGTAAGTGGGTTTTGTCTCGAACGCGACAATGATTCAAATATAGGATATGTTCGAAAATGGTAAACCTGGCGATTGTCTTAAGTGGGTTTTAATATAAAAAGATCTTAATAATTTTGATCTAAGATAATAGTTAAAAATTCTAAATTGTTGTCCTTGTGATGCTTAATAAAATGTTGGTTATAGTTTTTACTCTTGACTTTAACTCTCAATATGGGCTGGGGTCCTAAACATCAGTCTTTCAATTTGTGCCCATTTCTAACACTCAGTATTAGAAATGGGCTAAGTGTAGTTTTGGAACTATAGTCTCCTGGAGTTACTTAAATATGCAATATGTATTTCTAGATCCGTGATGAAGATGTTTTGTCTCGAATTCCATCGTTGAAAACCTGGTTCCGAACCTCCAGAGCTGTTGTGATGCACCTCAGTAATGGAACAATTCAGATTAACTTCTTTAAGGTCAGATTTTTATTTCTTTACATCGAAAGGCAGCGAGTGCTCAGGATCCGGATCGGCGACATTTTGGCTTCCTGAGCTAAGGGTAAAAAAAATGAAAATTACAAAATTGTAACTCACTAGGGAAATACTCATCCTTCAACCTGACAACATTGTTTGGCAAATCTTGGATGATGGGTATTCTAAAGTGGGGCATGGCTTAAACTTGGCTGTGTGGCTGGGCGCTTCGGAAAAATTACAAAAATAGAAAAAAGTCAATTTATTATAGAGAAGGTCGGGCTGAAAAACCATGAATGGTGTGGACTTGAAACTCCAACCCACTACTGGAGCCCTAGGCCATCCCTGCAACTTCTGATTTGAAAGTATCGACAAAAAATTGCTCTCCAAACCAAACCTACTAACTAGATTTTGGTCCAAACTTGTTTGTTTTATATCCACATCAACACATTATGAATTTGGTGAACAAGTTAAATGTTTATCAACATGAGTTAGTAAATCTATGCGAGCTCAAAAAGTGGATATATTTCATACATAGAGAATACCGTCTTTCCTTATTTTGTAAAATAAAAAGTGTTTTCACCCTGTGTATGTCAACTAATCAAATTTGTCAATTCCTAAATTACTAAACCAAGCTATATAAGTTAATAATAATAATAATTGGTTAACGAAAGAGACTGGATTATTTCCAAGCATAGTGATTACATCGTTTTGTTTCTTGGGAAAAATATTTATTGTTATAATTTTCAGGATCACACAAAGATTATACTGTGCCCCCTGCTGGGAGCTGTCACATATATCGATGATACTCGGAGAAACCGAACCTTCAGATTTGATCTGTTGGAAAAGTACGGGTGTTCACAGGATATTGCTGCTAGATTGAACTACGCTTATGATAAGGTTTGTTTCATTTCATTTTTTTATTCGTTCTGAAGTAATTTATTTAAATATTGCCGGTATTTTTCTCCAATTTTTATAGATTTTTGTTGCTCAGAGTTGATAAGAATGGACTTTTTACTAAGCAGAGGATTTAACCAGAGTTCTCAATTGACTAAAAATATTCACAAAATTGTATTTAGATTGAAGCCATGATGAAGAGTAAAACCTCAACTGGTGCTCGGAAGAAATGATTTGTTTCCCGGGGGAAACTTGTCTATTACGCTTATATTCCCGTTACATATACGCTTAAACCTCAACTTGAAGGTAGTTTATGCGTCAAGTTGTATTATAAGTCAAGTCACACAGATTTATTCCAATATTTATACATAAACTAGCTCAAGCTGTTCTCAACCTTGGATTTCAGACTAGTATCAATACGATTAAATTTAGTACCTTAAATTTCTGTCGTAACTAATACGCTTCAACTTAAAATGAAAATTGTTCACATGAAAATATTTTACCTGTGCGACTGAAATAACTAACTCCTGAGTTGGAACCTTAGTCTTTTAAACCTCGGAGGATATTAATTTGTTTATCTGGAAGTGAAGTCATATTTTCCAAACCACGCTAAGCAACTGAGTTTCTCTTTAATTTCATCGATGTTACATTTATTCCTGACACTCGTTAAAAATAGTTGGCTATGAATTTTCAAAGTATTCTGAGTGGCATTTATTAGTGGATATTTTTTATTACACAATATGCAAAGACACCAATTGTTCGGAAACCTACTTCTTTCCTCTTTAGTAAATTTGTTGATCAACCCCCTAGTTAGTAAGGTTATATATATAAATAACATGCTGTTGTTAAAGCATTCTTAGCTTTCATCTGATCTCCTGTAGCCTGCTCCCCTTTAGGCCAGTATAGACTTGGTACTGTTGTTAGACACTTACCTACGGGCGCCCTTTCATACATTGTTTTTATGTAACTCCTAAAATGGTTGATCTCGGTATACTGTAACTTTAACATGCAGGAGTTATAGGTATCTATGTGAAAGTTGCATGCTAAAGCTAAGTGTCTGAACATTTTCTCATGTGCCCATGCAAACAACTTAAAGATAGTGTATACACAATGAACATATCCTGTTGCAATCCTGGATATTACTGAAACGTTATATTGACCCTAATGTTTTATCTATGTTATTTACCGTGAAATATATTAAGTACTTGATTACATTGGTTTTAAAAAGTAGAGACATGAGTGTGAACAATTCTGCTCTTACTATTTTATTTATTGATTATGGCAACCCTTAAATCACGAATAGAGTTTTAATTACTTGCCATAGCAATTATATATTATAGCCGTATTTCAAGAGTCAGGACTAATTATGAAGCTCATAATATCAGTAGTCTTTAATTCCTACAATTCGTATATCTTCCTTGCAATTCTTCTGGGCAAGAACGGTTGAAATGGTAATGTAGAGTAAGAATACTCAACTTAAAGTATGTATTGTAGTATTTTGCAAAGTTAACTGTCCCGGGTTATACTTGAAGTTAAGACTAGAGCGGTATAGTTGCATTCTAACCTCCAATCCTAGTTCTCTTGTCGTCCTGGCTTTCTCTCATTGGATACATTTAGTCCTGTCAACATTTAGTATACTACTTCAAGGGAACAGTGAAACCACTTAATAGCAATTATTATATTTTCTTTATATTGAATACAACTGCTTTTAGTTATTCACTGTTGGTTCACACGATTACTTGATAACATCAACTGACAACCTTGATGAAAGCAGTGTAAAAAGGATATTTAATTATGAACGTTTTTGTATGCCATTTAATGTTAGATTTCAACCGATTTCTACAGTTTTAAGAACTTCAAGGGATCAGTGAAACTAGAAATTATTACTATTTCTGCTCATCTGATTAACTTGATGATGTTTCATCTTCGTAGCACTAGTCTTTAAAAGTGACAGTCCCATTTAAAATATATTTAATTCTGAAGTTAGTGTGTTCTATTTTATGGTTAGTTCTACAGTAATATACAGATTCAAGGTGAATTTGAAATCAGGATTAATCCAATTTCTTAAAATTTAACCACATGTTTTATACAGTGACAAGAAACTGTGGATCATAAAGACTTATGTTATGATTTTTAATTGTCCAATTTAATTGACATAGCAAGATTATACGCGTAATTTCAAGTGTGATTTGTACAGGTACTCTTGAAAGCTTTGTCTGATTCACACAGGTATTCTTGAAAGCTTTGTCTGATTCACACAGGTATTCTTGAAAGCTTTGTCTGATTCACACAGGTACGCTTGAAAGCTTTGTCCGATTCACACAGGTACGCTTGAAAGCTTTGTCTGATTCACACAGGTACGCTTGAAAACTTTGTCTGATTCACACAGGTACTCTTGAAAGCTTTGTCTGATTCACACAAGTACTCTCGAAAGCTTTGTCCGATTCACACAGGTACGCTTGAAAGCTTTGTGTGATTCGCACAGGTACTCTTGAAAGCTTTGTCTGATTCACACAGGTACTCTTGAAAGCTTTGTCGGATTCACACAGGTACTCTTGAAAGCTTTCTCTGATTCACACAGGTACGCTGGAAAGCTTTGTCGGATTCACGCAGGTACTTTTGAAAGCTTTCTCTGATCCACACAGGTACTCTTGAAAGCTTTCTCTGATCCACACAGGTACTCTTGAAAGCTTTGTCTTAAGTGTGAATTATGCATTAAGGTTAACTTTGAGAAGTGATTATTTAATTTGTGGTTGTCGAGACTGCAGTAGATGCAGGTCATTTCATGAAGGGAACTGAATAGTGAACATGCTTGCCTCAAACACAAATTTTTTAATTTTTTAATCTCTACATTAGAAAATTAAAGTCTGTGGCAAGTGTTCAGTTTCTTTTGACTTAATGGGATCTTCCTCTTCTCTAGAAATTTCATAATTTTTAAAGATAAATTCTAATTAACTGTTTCAGTTAGGAAAATAATGTTTAAAAACAGTACTTGCACAGTACAAAGTACTTGCACAGTACAAAGTACTTGCACAGTACAAAGTACTTGCACAGTACAAAGTACTTGCACAGTACAAAGTACTTGCACAGTACTAAGTACTTGCACAGTACAAAATACTTGCACAGTACAAAGTACTTGCACAGTACAAAGTACTTGCACAGTAAAAATCGGGAATTAACTAATTAGTGGCGCAACTATGGTGGAGAGGTCAACCTGATACGGGACCTTTATACTTAGGGAATAAAATAGTTGCTTGACTATCAACTTATTTTGTGAGATGGGCCTGTGTACACTTCACACTTGCTGTCTTTTATATTGGACTATTTAATAACTTTAGTCTAACAGTCGTCTTCTATTCCATAGTTTTATAGGTCCTAAGTTTTCTGGTTATCACTGTATGATGACTAAACCAGGACCATTAGACACCAAGATCCAGAAATACACAATCAATACATGTAATAGTTTGAATTCACGTTTCGAAGCAAAATTTGATTTTTTTTCACTTTGTACTGTTAAGAAAATGTTCTTTCTGACCGTGAAAAAATGACAAATTAAAGCAGCTGGAATTTATTAAGTATATCCGTGAAACCTAAGTTTTTTCAGAAAAGTCTTGATAAAAAAAAAGTTGGGATAATCATTTTTCTCATGATTTTACTTAAAATTTCAAACTCTGCACCGACCTGTTCTCTAACGCACTTAAAAAGTTCTATTATGAGATTTCTTTTTGTATGTGTTATATATGATATGATGATGTGTTATAAGTATCTGTATGTTTCAATGTAAGGAATTTCATAGCTTAAATAAAATATTTTTTCAATTATCGCAAGACTCCGAAAAGTGATTCACGTTTTCTTCAAAAGTTGTTTAGTTAAGATTATCATGTTTCAGAAATGTTATTATTATTTTTGTTACTACTATGTATCGGATTGTGCACTGGTTCTGTAGTTCAAATAACAAGTTCAAATATAGATTCTATAACAGCTGAAAATAATCTGGTTCTTGTCAACTTCTATGCTGATTGGTGCAGGTGTTGAGTGCCTTTAGTTGGATTGTTTTGGGTCGTTTTTTGCCAATATTTTCTTTCATGGCCAAAGAGTAGGAAAATCAAATATTCAAAAAAAAATTTTATCTAAACATTTTCAATATTTAACTCGATGACGAAGTTTGACCCTATGACAGAAGATATATGCAACAAAAACGATGCAATAACTAACACGTGTTATAACTGTAACGATCATATTTAGATCGTATTTCCATTTTTTCTATAATAAAGATATTGCAAAGTTTAATAATAGCAAACTTTAACAGATAGTTTTGAAATCTTGAAAGTTTAATAAAAAAATTAATGATCTAAAACAATTGACAAAACTAGGTCTATAAGTGCAAGTACAGGTATCTATTTATACAAAGTTTTAATCTCTATTCGTCTGGTTGTTTGTCCAATCATAACTAAAGAACCCATAGACCGATTTGCATCAAATTTTGATTTGGGAACTCGGGAGCCCACGGGAATGTTCCTAGGTTGGTTTTGGGATTCTAAGTTGAATGGGTTTATGGGGAAAAACAGCTAAAATTATAATTTACGACAAAGAGCGGGTAAACGGTGGGACTAACTATGACTTTCCTGAGCCACGCTGGGTTCCCCAGCTAACACTCATTACACATTAAAATAGCAAAACAATTTTAAATTATGGTTGTCTAAACCAGTTCCAGGATATTATATGTTAATTCATTTGGTTTACAATCCCTTATATTTCGTCAATTTCTTGTCAATGTCTTTTAATACTAATTGTTATTCAAATTTCAAACTCCAACCTACTCCTATATCTAGGTATACTCCAACCTACTCCTATATCTAGGTATACTCCAGCCTACTCCTATATCTAGGTATACTCCAGCCTACTCCTATATCTAGGTATACTCCAGCCTACTCCAATATCTAGGTATACTCCAACCTACTCCTATATCTAGGTATACTCCAACCTACTCCTATATCTAGGTATACTCCAACCTACGCCTATATCTAGGTATACTCCAACCNGACTCCTTCAAGTCTACTCCTATATCTAGGCATACTCGAACCTACTCTTATATCTAGGTATACTCCAACCTATATCTAGGTATACTCCAGCCTATATCTAGGTATACTCCAGCCTCCTCATATATCTAGGTATACTCCAACCTACTCCTATATCTAGGTATACTCCAACCTACTCTTATATCTAGGTATACCCAACCTACTCTTATATCTAGGTACTCCAACCTTCTCCTATATCTAGGCAGGCTCCAACCTACTCCAATTCAAGGTATACTCCAGTTTGCTCCTATATCTAGGTACTCCAACCTACTCCTATATCTAGGTACTCCAACCTACTCCTAAACCTAGGTATCATCCTAACTACTATAATATGTAGGTATACTACAACTTTCTCCTATATCTAGGTAATCCAAACTACTCCTATGTAGGTACTCCAACCTACTCTAATATCTAGGTATACTACAACCTACTCCTATATCTAGGTATACTCCAGTCTACTCCTATATCTAGGTGTATTCCAACCTACTCTTATATCTAGGTATACTCCAAACTACTATAATATCTAGGTATACTACAACCTTCTCTTATGTCTAGGTACTGCAAACTACTCCTATATAGGTACTCAAACCTACTTTAATATCTAGGTATACTCCAACCTACTCCTATATCTAGGTATATTCCAACCTACTCCTATATCTAGGTATACTCTATCCTACTCCTATATCTAGGTATACTCCAACCTACTCCTATATCTAGGTATAATCCAACCTACTCCTATATCTAGGTATACTCCAACCTATTCCTATATCTAGGTATAATCCAACCTACTCCTATATCTAGGTACTCCAACCTACTGGTTCCTATCTGGGATGAGGCAGCAGTAAAGATTAAGACTGAGCTACCAGATGCTAAAGTTATAATGGGCAGGGTAAGATTAAAGTACAAATTTTACTTAATTCAAAATAAAAACAATCTTTTAAATCAAAATTGTAAAGTAAATTTGAAATTTTTAATAATTGGGTTTTAAAATACAATATTCCAGTTCACTGGCCCAATGCAAATTAAATATATGGCTTCATACTTTTAATATTAGTTGTTACATGTCGCTACCAAATTATATCATTACAAAGCAATAAGGTTTCAAAACATATTGTAAGATTTCAGTTTAAAATAAATAAAAACCTTTCGAACACATTTATTTCTCCTATTTTCTTCTCTACATATACTTCTAATTAAAAATATTTAGATAGATTGTGAGGTGGAGAAAGATCTGAGTACAAAATATAATATCAATAAATATCCTACACTCAGATATTTCGAAGTAAGATAAATATCCTACACATAGATATTTCAAGATAAGATAAATATCCTACACATAGATATTTCAAGGTAAGCTAAATATCCTACACATAGATATTTCAAGGTAAGATAAATATCCTACACATAGATATTTCAAGGTAAGATAAATATCCTACACTCAGATGTTTCAAGGTAAGATAAATATCCTACACTTAGATATTTCAAGGTAAGATAAATATCCTACACTCAGATAATTCAAGGTAATATAAATATCCTACACTCAAATATTTCGAGGTAAGATATATATTCTACTCTTAGATATTTCGATGTAAGATAAATATCCTACACATAGATATTTCAAGGTAAGATAAATATTCTACACTCAGATATTTCAAGGTAAGATAAATATCCTACACTCAGATATTGCGAGGTAAGATAAATATCCTACACTCAGATATTTCGAGGTAAAATATATATTCTACTCTTAGATATTTCGATGTAAGATAAATTTCCTACACATAGAATTTTGAGGTAAGATATTTGAATTTGCTATATAATGCGTAGTTTCCAAAGAAATACTGTTGTTAATGAACTAGGACTAAAACTCGTAAAAATATAAACGAAAACATCTAAAACAATTGTTGCAAAGAATCTCAGTAGTTTTTTCTAAGTTTTTGTCAGACATAAGGGTCCCCCTCTGTTGCAATTTTTTAATTGATGCCCCATACACAATAGATTGCTTAATTGCCGTCTTACCGATCCTCAGTTTAATGGTTCTCACACTGTTAACTCATAACTAGAGCTGCCACTTTCTCTTATATAGTTGACACTTTCTCTTATATAGTTGACACTTTGCATCACGACTTCTCACGTTTTAAATCTTTATTAATCTAGAATGGAGTTCTAGCGAAGAAAGAGTATCGAGGACAGAGATCGGCCGATGCTATCCTCGAGTTCGTCAAGAAGGAGATCGAGTCCCCTGTCAAGGGGTTCGTCAGTATTGACGATCTTGTCAGCCGGCTGGACGAAAAGAAGAGACATGTCATCGGGTACTTTAACAGCAAGGACTCAGAGTCCTTTAAGGCGTTTGAAAAAACGGCGCAAATTCTCAAAAACGATTGTGATTTTCTCGCAGCCGAAAAGGATACTTTTCTGGACGATTCTTTTAAGGGTCAAGGAGACACGATAAGTTTCCGACCGAGTCAAGTTCAGACGAATGACGAAGATGAAGCATTTTCTGGAGATATAAACGATTACAAATTATTATTTTAATGAATACTAACTAGAATGGGCTAGATCTAAGTGTATATCTCTAGTACGAGAAATAACGTTTAATAATGCTGAGGAACTGACTGAGGAAGGACTTCCCTTTCTTATACTCTTCCATCATGCCGGGGACTCAGAGTCTGTCAAGGAAAATAAAATCTAAATAATGTTTACTCTAATTTAAATCAAATCTAAGCATAATTTTTTTTTGACATGCAAAAATATTGTCTAATAAAATAATTTCAAGTTAAAATAGTGGTTTATTTTGTCAAATGGTGTCTAATCAAACTGTTTTCAAAATAAAATGTTGTCAAATTGAAATAATGTCTAATTAATTAAAATGTAGGTTAATGTCTAATCAAAATTGTGCATTTTTTAAATGGTTTAATGTCAATTTGACAAAAATAGTTTCGAATCAAAATGTTGTCTTTTAAATATTTTGTCTAATTATTATAGTGTCTAATTGAGAAAGTGTCGACATCCATTATTTATATTCGAATATTCGATTTTGTTTTGTCCAGAAATACAACGAGATAGTGAAGACCGAGCTGCAGCACGAGATACCCAACGTAAACTTCGTAACAGCCGACGGATTAATGTTCATGCATCCGCTCTCTCATCTAGGGAAGACGGTCGACGATCTTCCGTTGATCGCGATCGACTCCTTCAAGCACATGTACTTGTTCAAGGACAACTTCAAGGAAGCAGGAAAACCAGGTAAATTTTAGGGAATTCTGTTATTATTATTATTTCGGTTCTTTTTTGTTCCAGCAAGTTAGCAACCCAAACTAAAAGTATTAGTCTTTAAGTAATTTTATATCTTATTAACTTAATTGTGTATATCTTTTGTTGGTTTAATTTTTTGATGATTAGTAATATTAGAATTCAAAGTTTGAAATATGAAGGTCTACGACATCTGGTTGCAAAGATATAGAATTTTGTGGGAGGTATAGTCAGTTTCTGTAAGAAATTTTTGAAAAAGTGACGATTTTTTTACATTTCTGTTATTTTTGGTTAAAGGAACTGATTACACACACTCCAAACTCTAATTTTGTAACCTCTATATCTTAAGATATCTTTGCAACCTGTTATATTTAAAGTTTTGGCTATTTACTTTGCAGAATTCATAGTATGAAAAATTAAAAGTCCACAAAAAATACATTATTGCCGAAAACTGAGTTTGCTTTCCCAAAAAATCTATACATGTTTAAAAAGCTCATATTTTGCATTGCATGGCAAAAATTATATTCTGCGTTTTTAGGAAAAATGGCAAAATTTTTAGCCGATCTTCACAGCGGAAAGTTGCACAGGGAATACCATTATGGACCTGAACCTGATTCACAAGGTTAAAATACTTTTTAAAATCTAGTGTAACTAAAAAAATATTTAAGACCCAAATATTATTAAAATCTTTATTCGAGAATTTCAGTCTGCTGTGCAACCAGAATTAGTGGTTTTGAAGTATACAGATATACAGTTCTATATAAATTGTTGATCAAGTATCACTGAAATCCTGAATTTCTGTTAGACCACTTAATACTTAAAAAGATTTTTCATCTACTTAAAAATACGCATAATACAGTGCTAACAAGAAAACTGTGGAATAGGAAGACGACATTTAAGTAATACTGCAGTATAAGGGATGTTTCAAACAGTTTTATTCGTAACATATGAAGTCACTTATTTAGTGAAATGGGTCTGTTTACACTGCACAAATGCTGTGTCTCATGTTTATTTGACTTTTTAAAGTTATTACTTGTGTTTAAAAGTCGTCTTCTTACTCCAGAGTTTTCTAGTTATCACATTATCAAAATCTGAACCAATCTTACGACTAAAATATGTCACAACTTTCTATCTAAAGAACTAAAGCGTTTCTGTCAAAAAAGTTTAATTTTTCATAATTAGAGAAAACTAGATAAGGCTCGGAAAGGAATTTAGATCTTGTCATAAAGTCCAAAATTCTCATCTCTATTTCTCCTAATTTGACATTTTAATCATAGACTATTTGATCTAGCAGAATTTGAAATGTTAAATATCAAAGGTCTACAACATTGGGTTGCAAAGATATAGGAATAAGATCGAAAACCCGAGTTTGTGACAAAAACTCATTTCCTTTGAAGATTAGTTTTTATTTATTTTTTTTCGTTGAAATATTCTTTACTCACCCCTGGTCAGAAATAAATTGCATAAAGTTTAAAAACATCTGTTTTTAAAATTGTATGTTCAAAAGTTAATTAAATAAAAAATGCTTTGTTTTGAACAATAGACAATACAAATGTTTTAAATTTAGTTCAGGATTCAAAAATATAGATATCAAACCCAATTGGGTATTTTACCAAGTGGCAACTTCCCAAATGTGCAAAATGTGCAATTTTCGAAGCGGCAACTTCCCAAGTCTGTCCTAGCTGCAGTGCTCAGCCCACCCCCCCAGTCTGCGACGCTTGGCCTCCTAGCCCATCTTAGTTGCAGCGCTCGGCCCCCATTGCAGCCTGCAGCGGTCCAGAGGGTCTAACCTAACCTTTGGGAAGTTTTCGCTTGGGAAATTGCACATTTGGGAAGTTGCCATTTGGGAAATTGTCACTTGGGAAGTCGCCCTTGGGAAAACCCCTTTGTGAAAGTACCTTACACCGGTTTAAAAAAGGTTATTTACATTAAAGAGGGTTCAGAAGTAATTTCCAATGAACCTCCATTAAAAAAGTGGAATGTCCGATTCACAGCGGTACCTTTTCAACTTTTATCTGAGTAACAATAAGGGAGATATCGGTGTTTTCTAATCTGAAAGTGTTCAGTTCTGATAATTTTCTTATTTATCTCTGTTGCATAAAACCAAAGGTGATAATTACACGAAGCTACAAAAGAGAAAAATCTATAATGAGTAAACCTCGTTTATCTTTGATCCACAAAGGTTTAAAGAGTGCTGTTGTGAATATGCTATTCCTATCTAATTTGACAATTACACTATTTTTCAAGTGTTAATACTGTTTAAAACGTATGTTTATTATACAAAAGATGCTTCAATAAATCTATGAAAAAAAAAAGATTTGTAAAAAAATAAAAATGAAATCATGAAATTTTGCAGAGGAGGAGGGAGAGGAGGAAGAGGAAGAATCCAAAGAACTAGAAAGCAAAGAAGAAACAGAGGAAACAGAAAACAAATTTGCAAAAGAGGTCAAAACAGACGGGGAAGAGGACAAAAGAGAGGCTGATAAACAGGTTGGAGAAGAGGTTACGCAACCTCATATCCCTCGGGAGGTATCGGAGGATTCGGAGGAGTCTGAAGAAGAGGTTTCAACTGATCCTCCGGAGTCAGTTTTTGCCAAGCTTGGTCCTTCACCAAACCGTTATACATTGCTCAAGGATGAATTTTAATCTAGAATTTGACCGGGCTTTCAGAAATCCATTAACTAGTCATTCTAATCTTTCAAATCAGCGGCAAAAATTATTGCTCGAAAAATTATTGCTATGAATATTTTAGACTTAATTAACGCCATTCTTGCACTTTTACTTTTTTTCGAGAATAGGATTTCTAGCACCATCTTTCGAGCAATAATATCTGCAAATGTAACTTAGCTTTACATCAAAGCTTCACGAGTGATAATGTTATAAATATTTGTCCATTTTAATAATTGAATAACAAAATATCGGTGTAAAAAATCCTTATCAATATAGAAATCAAAATTTAAATTTATGCAGTGTATACTTTCTAATCTAAACTTAATCATATACTTTTTTAAAGTCACAATTATGTTCGAAAATTTATTTGTTGATATCTAATATTTAAAAAATTTGTATTTATTTTTTGCTATTTTTATTGCAACCTCCTCCTACTTAACAACCCCATTTCTTTACTGTCGTATGATCAATTCAATTCCTTCTTGCAATCGTTGTATTTTTATTGTTTTATGTTTTCCTTTTTCAAATATTTTTTTTTTCAAAAAATTTCCATTTTCTTGATTCTCTTGCTTTTGGAAACAATCTGTGATGAAGAATTTATCCTGTAAAATGTATAAGTAAATTATAAGTATTAAACTTTTTTTTTACTTTTGAGATTTTGACATGTTAACATTAATACTGTGATTCAAACCATTCCCATGTCCAAGAAAGAATATTTTCTGTGGTTTTTATTTACAAATATTTGAAGAAATTCAAAGAAAATATTTTTAAAACCCAGAATTATTTTGTAATGCCTTGTCTTTGGGTTTACTGTTAAGGTTTGCTTTAATATATCAAAAAAGTTGTCTGTTTTTGCTTTTTTGTTTTGTTTAAATCGTTAAGTATGTAATCATTCATTAATATATATTGTTATTTTGCTTAATATTTTCTCATTATGTGTTTACAGGTATCGTTTGAATAGATTTTTTTGATACAGTGGTAGGTGATTATATCAATACAATGAAGACAACTTTTTTATTTAAGTTTTGATTGTTAACTACCTTTTTTCGAATTAAAAGTTTACAAGTAATCGAAGAGAAGCTTTTCAAATTGACAGCTTCTCTTGACTTCTATGTTTGTCCATGCTGTTTAACAGCTTGATATAAATCAAAATTTAAATCGAAAGACGTCTATATTGTATTGATATATGCAACGACGACTGTATTTATAATTTATTCTTTTAAATTAGTGGTGTTTGAGTATAGTGTGAGATATATTTGTTAAATAATACATTCAGAAGTTGAAATTAAAATAAAGAAATTAAACTTTTTACTCTTAACTTTATTATGTAAGTTTGGCATGTTTGTTTTATTATATGTATATACAAGGTGTCTCTGAAAAAAAGTACAATCCACGTGTAAATGTGAGGGGGGGGGAGGTCGATCATGAAGATTTTTCTCTAAAATGCCGTTTAAATCTTCAAAATTGGGACTTATATTCGAAAATGTGCTCTGTCTCATTTCCGAAGAAATTAAATCGCCTTTTCACCCACTAAACGTGGTTTTGTTGTACTGAAAGTGTTGTTAGGTAAAATGCCTATATATTGGGATGTCGTTGAAAGATTTTGCTCTAAAAACCTTCAAAATGTTCTCTAAATGTACTGGGTCCCTTTCCTAAGATTTTCGAAAATAATTCAGGCATCCTTTTTCGTCATTTTTTTTTTAAATCCTTAATGCTATAATTGAAAATGCGCAATTTATTTTATTCTGTTATTCTATTCTCTATGTGTATAGCGCAAAAGTAAAATTATAATAAAATTTGTTTAGAAATTTTTTGGAAAAGAGACAAATCACATTATTGAATATTAGGCCTATATTTGAACATTAAAAAGGCATTTTAGAGAAAAATAATTCATCGAAGACCCCGCCATTCATGGATTTTGAACCGACGCGATTAGGCGCATTTTTTTCTACACAATACAACGCGCGATGTTTAGTGGGCTAAAATCCTAAACACTTTTTTTCAGAGACACCCTGTTTAATTTTACATTCTTAATATTATTGAGAATTTATATCTGTAACTTTGGGAGGAAGAATACAATCCTTTGGAGGAAGGATACAATCCTTGGGAGGAAGATGCACACCTTGGGAGTAAGGATACAAACCTTGGAAGGAAGGAATAAAACTAGTGAAGAAAGGATACAAACCTTAGGAGGAAGGATACAAACCTTGAGAAGAAGGATACAAACCTTGGGAAAAATTATACAATTGGGAGGAATTGATGCACACCTTTGAGGGGAATATAACTTCGGGGGAATACAAATTTGGGATGAAGGATTGATTCCTTGGGAGGAAGGATACAATCCTTGGGAGCAAGGATACAATTCTTGGGAGGAAGGATACAATCCTTGGGAGGAAGGATACAATCCTTGGGAGGAAGATGCACACCTTGGGAGGAAGGATACAAACCTTGGGAGGAAGGATACAAACCTTGGGAGGAAGAATACAAACCTTGGAAGGAAGGAATACAACAATGGAAGAAACTTTGGGAGGAAGGAAATACACCTTGGTAGGAAGGATACATTCCTTGGGAGGAAGGATGCAATCCTTGAAAGGGAGGATACGATCCTTGGGATGAAGGATACAATACTTGAAAGGAAGGATACAATCCTTGGGAGGAAGGATACAAACCTTGGGAGGAAGGATAAAAAACTTGAGAGGAAGGATAAAACAAACCTCAGGTGGAAGGATGCAAACCTTGGCAGGAAGGATACACACCTTTTGGAGGAAGGATGCAATTCTTGGAAGGAAGGATACAAACCATGGAAAGAAGGATACGCACCTTTGGGAGGAAGGATTCAATCCTTGGGAAGGATACAAACCTTGGGAGGGAGGATTGAATCCTTGGAAGGAAGGATAAAGACCAATTGGGAGGAAGGATACACACATGACAGTAGACACATGCACACCTTTGGGGGAAGGATGCAAAAACCCTAGAAATTTTACAGGACGGATTCAAACGAATACCTGTAAAATAAATTAATGATTCAAACCTTGGGTGGAACTTGACAGGCATGCAGAAAATGGTTTAAACCAACGAAGTTTCAAATCTTGCGGCGGATAAATCTCAAATTTTAGGAGGAGGTTCAAAAAATAAAATAATTCAAACCGCAAAAAAATTATTAATATTGATTTTATATAGGCATATCAAATGATGATATGATTTCTACTTCAGGCCCTCTCTATTTAGCATAATACACTCCCTTCCTTNCTGCCCGGCTCCTCTCACAAATTTTGTATCTTTAACTTCGCGAAAATATTTACACTTCCAATATATTGGAAAATTTAATAAAGGTGTAAATGTTACAAGATTGAGGCAGCTTTTATTAGTTTACAGCTGTTCAACCCGCAGCTGTGATTCAGCTGTCAAATTCCGCAGCTGCAGTCTGCTTTAACACAAAGCCATTGTTTTGCTCAATATGGCGATTCCACAGTACACAGCTCTGAGAGGATCCAGAGCAACCTAGTCCAGGTTCTTCGGAGAACTGAGAGAGAAATATCGAGGGTCGGAAACCTCCGGGAATAAAGTACATATTTTAACCATGTTTATAAAGATTCCATTTTACAGATTTTGTTGAATCGTATTGTTATTAATTACAATATTAGCTGTTATGTTATTATAAAAGATAAATGTGGTGCGACTCTAGCGACTCAAATAACTCTGTAAGAGACCCCAATTTATACATACATTTCATTTTAATAAATGATTTTATTTCAGTGAGTTAAAATGGCGAGTTTATGGGACAGAACACAGAAACTACCTAAGGTATACAATCAAATTTTTGCAATTCATTGAAATAAACCTGTTTTTTTTCTGACCCCCGCCTCCACCATATAATCTTGGAATGTCCTGAGAGGTCGAACGTTGCAGCCCCATTTTGCTGAAAAATATTTTAGAATTAATCATAAAATGTTAGTAAATTGAAATAAGATATTTCTGTAAAATTATTAACAATTACCACAAAATGAAATCGGCCATTGTGTATATGCCTAACTTTAAATTACTTGGCAAGCTTTGGAACTTGTTGAATATCGATAACGCTGGGATAATTTTAATAATTTTCTAGTATTATATTTCCCCCTTCGTAAAATTAGTGGGTCTGTCCTAGTGAACGATTTTTGAACCCCCTCCCCCCCCCTCCTTTCAATTTTGTACATGACCATTTATTTTTCAGCAAATTTATTATTATTTATTGTTTTGTTATTTAGGGTTAGGTTAGTTAAGACACTTTCTGTGCCGAGCGCTGCGGCTAGGACAGGCTAGGGGGCCGAGCTCTGGGGCCACGGGTCAGGTTAAGTTAAGATACTTCCAGTCAGACCCATGTACAAAATTGATAGGAGGGGGGGGGGGGTTCCAAAAATCGTTCTCTAGGAAATTACCAAATTAGTGTACATGCTTCCTACATGCAAACATGTGGCCGGGGCGCCGGCCCCCTAGCCCCGGCGATCGGCCCAGTATCCTGCCCTAGCCGCAGCACTTGGCCCCAGAAATTGGCTTAACCTAACCCAACCCTGAAATAGTGCAAAACAAATATTAATTTCATATTAAAGGATGGTTAAAATCGATTTCACAATAAAAAATAATGACGATAATGTTTAAATTGATTATTTGAATAAATTTCCCCTCAAATTTTGATAATATCACCTTTAGGAGGATTACACCGACGTTGAGAGAGTTTATGGGGAACACTTTCCGTTAGAGGTAAATTACTACCCTGTGAAATCAAAACCGTTTAGTCGAAAATTAAAGTTGTAATCTTTATATCTTAAAATTATTTGAATTTCTCATTTTTTCCTGGAACTTAATTCTTTCAAATATCTTCACTATGTAAACATTTATAATACAAAAACTTGATTAGTATTGTTTTCCATAATAGGTTAGAATCTAACTGACAAAATAAATATCCATTTTTTCCATTTATTGGTTTGATTCTAGCTAGCAAAATTAATATTCTATTTTCCTTTAATAGGTTAGATTTTAGCTGGCAAAATGAACATTCAATTTTCCATTAGTAGGCTAGATTCCAGCTAGCAAAATGAACATTCTATTTTCCATTAATAAGCTAGATTCCAGCTAGCATAAAGAATATTCTAATTTCCATTAATAGGTTAGATTCCAGCTAGCAAAATGGATGGAAGAAAATCTGCGTCCAGGCCTCAAGGAAACTAAACCTTTTGAAGTTCTGTTTCCTTAATAGGGTTGCAGGGATGTATATTCATTTTAGAATTGATTTTAAATATTTGTTGTTCTAAATTAAACCCTAGAAAAATGATTTTCTGGCATTATTAAATATTTTTTCTGGACGGTTTGGTTTGGTTTTCTAAGATGGACGATTTCAGCAATCAAGATTTTATTTCGCTTGCTTTTAATCTTCTGACAGAGCTAGATGCTACAGCTAATGCCATACCGGAGGTATTAAGTTCATATTCTTTCCTTTAACAACTTATTATTTTTTAATTCAATTATATTAATTGGATAGTTAATACAAAAAAATTCTAATTTGATTATCCTTCTTGTCATTGTTTCTCTCCTTCTTCCTTTATTTCTTCTGTCGACTGTCCCCGATTCTGATAATTTTGAAACATTTTTTTTGTCGAAATCAGTATTTTTGGGATAATAATCATATTCATTTTAAAATTAATCTATGGGTTCNTTTTCACCTTATTTATTCGTGAATTAGGTTTATTTTGTTACTTTTAGTGGCAAAATTATGGCATTTTTTGCAATAAATAAGAGAATTGATGGAATTTTGAGGATTGCTTGGTAGATATATCTTTAGAGGAAACCTTGATTGATTAATTGATTATCCAGGAGCCAGCGAATTTCTTGACAAAAAAGAAGCTGCGTGACTGCTCCATGGCCCTGAGGTTGAGATACAACAACAACCCTGCTGCTCTCACTAGAACCATGAAGCATTGTTTAGATGCTGAGGCAAGCATTGTTGCACGGGCAGAAGGTAATTCATGCCTGACACAACTTGGAATAAATTGAAAAGAATGAAATACTATAATTAAGCCGCAAAAATCGCAAAATATCACCAAAAAAAATTCGCGAAAACTTTTTGGGGTTAAAGAAATTATAATAAGCATAGGTAGAGAAAGATTCATTTGGACCCGGATCTGCATCAAGATGAAATGGATTCTACTAAATCTTTTTTTCTGAAATTTACTAGTTTTTTTAATGAGTTGATTTTCATGTGTAAATGATAATGATAGAATTTATAAAGTTTATTTCCAGCTGAGGGTGCCGGACTGAGTGTTCCCTCTACAGAAGCAACTATGGCTCACCAGATCAGAAACTCAATAGGAGTTATCAAACAGAAGGTAGGGTTCAATATACAGATAAAGTTTTTGTATTAGGCTTGATACGATAAACAAGGAATTCGGGCCTATATTGAGATCGGTTGCCAGTTTAAAAAATAGGGTACAGGTCATAACTAAACAGTGAATATGGAAAAATTGCTGCTATTTTCATTTTGATCTGAATTGTCATATCTGACTCAAGTCTAGCAGTAAAAAAAATGAAACTTTTGACTAAAAATAAGACGCCTTTATGTTCCCCATAAAAAGTATCGACATAATCTTGTGAAGAGATAAAAGGCGGATAAAAACGTCAGGAATTAACGGGGGAGCAGAAATGATTTTTTTAGCATTGTAGAAGAGGTGTTTGATTATAAAGCAAACCAAACCTTGGGTCGTTATTTAAATCTTAGGGGTTTTTTTACTTTTGAGTGGGCCAACACAAATCCAAGAAGTTTTACAACTAACAATACTGTTTATTTTAAAAAATTTGCTTTCCCTCACAATACCAATTCGAACCTTGAGAGAAGATATATGCAAAAAACTAACCTTTAAGTAAATTTTTAGTTAGTTTCATCCTTAAAAATCCAAGGAATGTGAACCAAGATTTTGACCATCCCTTATGATGGGTTTGTTAAAGGTTCTGGTGGAGACAATGTCTGATGTAAACCGGGTAAAACAGGAGAACGAGGCCTTGAACATGGATCTATACACACACAAGGAGCTCAGTACAAACCTAGAGAAACTCAAGGAGATACATGGAGATGATTATTTCGAGGTCTGACACTGATACTAATACTGATACTGATACTGATACTGATACTGATACTGATACTGATACTGATACTGATACTGATACTGATACTGATACTGATACTGATACTGGGTACTGGTACTGGTACTGATTACTGGTACTGGTACTGGTACTGGTACTGATTACTGGGTACTGGGTACTGGGTACTGGTTACTGGGTTACTGGTTACTGGTTACTGGTTACTGGTTACTGGTTACTGGTTACTGGTTACTGGTTACTGGTTACTGGTTACTGGTTACTGGTTACTGGGTACTGGGTACTCACTTTATTTTAATTGATGCTGATGCTGGCACGACGACAACGAATGATTACGATAATGATGATGATACTTTTGAAGGTGAAGAAGTTAATGGAGAGCTGTCGGAAGATGAAGGAGGATGTGGGACAGAAGCTCACAAGGATTCTCTCACATTTCAGACTTCTAGAAAATAAATTCAAAGAATTATTTGAGGTATTTTTTGTGCAACTTTTTAATCAAAGGTAATCTTCATTTTGCCTACAAAGACTTAGTTTCAAGATACCCTCCATTTTTATAATGTAGAGTAGCATGTCCTATTCACAACGGTATCCTTTGAAACTCTGTCTGGGTAACTATAAGGAAAATGTCCTGTAAAGTGATAACTTCTAAACATTATTTAGTTTTGGGGTATAAATCTGCAAGTCACTTTTACAGAGAAACTAAATATTTAATTATAATAGAACATTTATACTTTGGTCAGACAAAGACCTAAGGGGTACTCTTGGGAATCGAACATGCCACTATGTAAAAAGAGGTTTTTTTTAAGGAAGCTTGTAAACTTAAAAAAATCCTGATAACCCCCTGTTTTTCACCTTATTTATTCATGTGTATTTCGTCTTGTCTCTTTATCTCATTTTGTTAAATATTCAAATATTTAAAAACAATGACGGGAATGAATGAAGACTGAAAGAGTGGACTATTCATGTTCTTTTCTCGAATATTTGTAAATTTAATCAAACCTGAATAAAAAGAATAGATTATATTTGATAAGACGAAGAAAATATTGTTTTTTCTTGTTTTTAATCTAATCAATGAATCAAAACACAGGGATGGATATTTTCAGAACAAAGAATTTTAATAAATTGATATGTATCAGACTTGGATTAAAATGCTCACTAAAACTAGGGTTTCCAGTTTTTGACGGATCAATTTGGCTTCATTAAGATTTTACGGAACTTTTCCAGTACCCATAAAAAATTTGGAAATTAAGGGCTTAACCTTTCTTAACCAATTTTCAAATAGATATTCCCCTTAGATGCGACACAGAGCTAGGTGGGACATGTGGAGAAAAGTTTACGGAACGATAATTTCAAATCAATTCCATATGGAATTCTTGTCTCGTAAACTTTTTCCCAGCATGGCACATCTAGCCCTGGTTAAATCTATAGGGGTAGATTTATTTTTTATTCAGTTAATAATGGTTTCACCTTAATTTCCAAAAGTTTTAAAGGTTTATTGTTTTAACAAATTTAGAAAGATTCCGGAAGGCCTTCGGAAGCAATTTAATCCGGAAAAATTGGAAACCCTAGTTTTATAATATTATTTATCTAAGTGTAGAAGTATGCATTGAATAGTTGCTTCACATTTAGTGCTTTACTTTATATATAATATATACATTATATATATATATATATATAGTAAAGACCACTTTTGTTGGCCATGTCTGGTTTATTAAAAATATAAAGCGTTCCTATCCATGTTGAGTGCATTAAAAAAAGGCAGAACTTTGTATCGTTAATCATGGGATCAAGCCTTAGTCTCCATTTTATGCTGATCTATGGATTAATTTAATTCATCTCTGATATCCCATGGTGGTCATACCTTTAGATAGTTAAAATTTTGGTGACTTCCTTTTTTCCGGATATCCCTTAGCTATGTGCCAAAGGATCAACTTCATTTTTGGAATCCGGATCCTTATTTTGCACTAAAATAAAATGGATCCAATCATTTCCTCAAAAATCACATTTTATTGAAAATTGTTCTGTTTCAATTTTGCTGATCCTAGTGAGAAAAAGTGTGGAACTGTCATAGCTAAATTCTGCTCTTGTGTGTAGGCGGTGAAGGGGGTGCAGGTGGAGGTCTTGGAGAACAGGCTGGCCAGCTGGAAGAGGGAACAGCAGCTCTCAGGAAACGGGTTCACCATGAAACTAAGTTTAGATGTTATACAGGTCAGTGTATAATATTGATAGAATCAATAGTTTCTTAGGTAAATGGAGATAGACAAGAGATAGACCAGAGATAGACAAGAGATAATCAAGAGATAGACAAGAGATAGACAAGAGATAGACAAGAGATAGACAAGAGATAGAAAAGAGATAGACCAGAGATAGACCAAAGATAGACCAAAGATAGACCAAAGATAGACCAAAGATAGACCAAAGATAGACCAAAGATAGTCCAAAGATAGACCAAAGATAGACCAAAGATAGACCAAAGATAGACCAAAGATAGACCAAAGATAG